CTGTATGGACACAGCTGGGTACTACTTTATAGTATGTTCATTCTACTCACTGGGGTTTATGCCTGGGGTCAGATTTGGGTACATGTATAGGTATGTGTCAGTTGTGCTAGCTATTGGATATATTTAGACCAATTGAGTTCACTGGCAGAACAATTGAATGGGAGGGGGCAGAAGGCATGGAGGGCAATCATGGATGCCAGGGACAATGGAGGAGGAAGATGGGACATGGCAGAGGGTGGGGGATGGGGAATCAGGGATGGCAAGACAAAGGGCAAGGTATGCAGGATGTAAGAATTGGAAAATTACTTGCTGAGAACATGTATGTTGATGTGCTTGACTGAACCAGTACACAGTGTATTTTGGATGGAAAATTTATTGGTGGGTTGTGATGGTGTATAGTGAATTAAGGTAGAAAATAAAAATTAAAAAAAAACCAAACAAACAAAGTTTTAACTTTCGATGAAGTCTAATTTATCCTTATTTTTCCTTTTGTTATTTGTGTTTTTGGTGTCATGTCTAAGAAATGCCGAAGTAGAGTCTCAAACATTTACTTCTATACTTTTAAAATTTTATAGTATTAAGCTCTTACATTTTGGTGGTCCATTTGGCTTAGTTTTGGTTTATGACATGAGATAGGGGTCCAAATGTATTCTTTTGCATGTGGAGAACCAGTGGTCCAGCACCATTTGTTGAAGTGGTATCATTTTCCACTGGATTATCTTGGTACCCTCGTAGAACATCAGTCAATCATAAATGTCAGGATTTACTTATACATCCATCCTGATGCAAGTACCACCAAACAGTCTTTTTTACTTAGCTTTGTAATATATTTTGAAATTGGGAATTATGAGCACTCCAATTTTTTGTCCCTTTTCAGGTTACTCTGGTCCCTTTCCATTTGCACATAAATTCAATATTCAGCTTTTCCATTTCTGAAACTACCACCAGCAAAAATACCCAAAACCTTTCCTCATAACAAAAAGACACCCCCTCCCCCCAAATCCAAGAGCAACCAAGTGAGACTTTTTAGGAATTGCTGTAGGTCAGTTTGGGTAGCACAGACACTCTTTACTTAATGACCAAGTTCTGTTCCTATGACCAGGTCATTAAGTGAGTTGGTTGATAAGTGAGGAACTTTAAGGCAGATGTCTAGTGGTGTTTTGGCACCACAGGGTATGTTTTTTCAGTAGTGTGGTATTATGTGATACCATAATAGGATAATGTAACACTATTCACACAAAAAACATCATTAGGTAAGTGCCAGAAAGTAACAAGACACACTGCAATAATATAAATCTGGTGTAACTGTTTTTATTTATTCCAAATAATATTAGGTTGTCAGGAAAGTCATGCCATATTTTTCTATGCAAAAATGTGTCATGATTTTCCTGACAACCCAATACTATGAGCATACAATAAAGTATACATTTATAAATGAAATATGTAGTCTTGTGTGATTAAGAATGACCTATGTAGGTATTTCACCACTAACCATTTAACTCTGGGTTTGTCCAAAGATACTCTTTATCAGGTCAGGTAAAACAGCAAAAAAACCTCCTGCTTTTTAAAAAAATTATGAAGTGGTGCTGGAATTTTTCAACCACTTTTCCTGAGATGACTGGGATGACTATGTAGTTTTTATCCTTTGTTCTAGTAATATGATATACTATACTGATTGTTAGATGTTAAGCCAACCTTGAATTGCTGTGATAAGTCTTACTTGGTTATAGTATATAATCTTTTTTTTTTTTAAATCTGTTGCTGTGTCCTAGTATACTGTTGAGTATTTTTGCATCTATACAGAAGGGATAGTGGCTTGTAGTTGTTTTGTCTGGCTTTGGTATCTGAGTAATACTGGCCTCACTGGCCTTTCTTCTTCCTTTTCTTGCAGGAGTGTAAGAAATTGTTATCAATTCTTTAAACATCTGGTAGCATTCACCAGTGAAGCTACGCCAGTCTGGAACTGCTTTTGCTATTTATATTTCTTTAGTTTTGAGCCTCTCTAGATGTTTTCTGATTTGGCCCAAGTTATCTAATTTGTTAGCATGAGATTGTTCATAGACTCCTTCACAATCCTTTTGATATCTGTAAGTTTGCACATGACGTTCTCTCTTTTGTTCCTGATTTGTATTACTATTGTTTTTGCTAGAGGATACATGTGCTTGCCAGAGAGAGAGGGACAGGAGAAAGCACTCCCGTGGGGAATGGTCATGCTGCAATCCCCTGTCCTCCATCTCTTCCTCTTTTTGGGATTTTGGGCATGCAAGCACATGCACCTGGCATAACCACTAGGCCATGGAGTTATTCCATTTCTTATTTTTATTTTTTTTTAAAGAATTTTTTTAACTTTATTTACTTATATTTTTTAAACTGAAACAGTTGACAATTTTATTATTTTCACATTTCACAATACAAATGAAAACTGCACTTTTTTGTCTCACTTCTCTCCTCCAAAACTACTCTTAATTTTTTTTTAAATAGGAAGGGGGAAAGTGTTCCTTGACATGCTGTTAGAAAATACCCAGAGTCATAGTACCATGATCTCCTGGTGAAGAACAAGTTAATATAAAACTGACATAAAGAAGCCTCCCTTCCTCCTTATCTGTCTGGCCAAGTCATCCCTGGGCGAGTGGGCACCATCGTGAGCTGGGCAGTGGGCCCAGGCATCTTGGGAATGTGGCCTCCCATGGGTGGCCTCATTCCAGGAGCAGGTCCTACTGGCATCATGCCAGGGCGAGGAGGACCTGGGAGACTGCGGGGAGGTGGGATCATGGCCCCTGCAGGAGAAGGAGCAGAGAATGGAGCAGGAGGTATCCTCCCTTGTAGAAAGGCAGCGGTTGTTTCATCAATCAGGGTTTGAGCCTGCTCTTCCATCCATTTCTGATGGTAGTCTTTCACATTCTCTTTGTGTTTCCTACCACTACAGTGTGTTTTTCTCATGGATGGAGAATCGTGGGTGAGGTATGTATCATAGTAGTCACAATAAAACTTAGGCATATTGCTCCTCAGGCCGTTGGACTTTCCGCCTTTATTTACTTATTTTAATTTGACCAGAGAGGGACAGAGTGAGGAGTGGGAGAGGGGGAAAGCAAGCCATCAGGTCTGACTCAAACCATGGTCAGCCATGTGGGAGTCCAGAGTCCTTAACCATCACACCACCTGCCAGCCCCACCCCATTTCTTATTTTAATAAATGTTTTAAGTGAGCAGATGGTGTGGTGTCAAGTGCTGGACTCCCACATGGCCGATCACTGTTTGAGTCCCCGACCCAGTGGCTCGAAAATCACGTCAGGCACGTATGCTTGCATGCCCAAAATTCCAAGAGGAGAATGGAGAAGAAGGTGAGAAAGTGAGAAAGCAAGTTGCCAGGTCCGGGACTCAAAGTGCGGTCAGCCATGTGAGAGTCCTGTGTCCCCAACCACCACGTCACCTGTGTCCCCAACCATCATGTCACCTGCTGGCTGCTTATTAACCTTTTGAATTACTAATTTCTGGTTTTCTTAGTTTGTTCCTGTGCGATAATAGGCATTTCAGAAAGAAGAAAACATGGTTGGGACATATTTAAGGAAAGCTTTTCCATTATTAAGAAAACATAAAAGAAAATAAAAGATTGAAACTGAGAAGGTGAACAGGACACCGGAAAGTCAACAAAAAAGTACACTGTCTAAATCTTTGGAAATTTAGACACTAACTAAAACAACCCTTGGCATTCAAAATGATGCATTCACAGCAAATTCTCAACATATATAGGCATAAATAATCCTGTTTATCATACCATATCATTTGAGGTAGAGAGAAAGAGGAAGGGGGTTAGAAGAAAGAGGAGAAGAGTAAGTATACTAAAATGTTATATGGGTCATGGAACGAAGATTTTTTTTTTTTTTTAATTGCCAAAGACAGTATGTATTGCCTCAATGGGGGCGTGCTCATCCTTTTTCTTTCTATTCTCCACCCTGTCAGGATTTTGGACACACACACATACACATATACATGCTGGCAAGTTGCTGGGACCAAGATTTAAATTGTAGTTGGCTACGTGGGATTCAGCTCCCTATGCACAGGGCTTACCTGCTGCACCATGGGCTTGGCCCACGAAGGAATTTTATATTGAGGTTTTTTGATAAGACATATTTTATGATTTCTCATACTTAATGTGTATTTGTGATCAAATAAACTTAAAAAATCCAGAAGACATGTATGGTAGATATGAAAAGATAAGTCACTTAAGACTAAATAAAAATGACCGAAATATATAGTATGAATACACACGTATACATTTATACGTGTATATATGTATATGTGTGTGTAAATTTAGCTCCTCTATCAATTAAAAACAAATGAAAATGGAACTTTTTTTTTTTTTTAAGTTTTTGCTACACGGCACATGTGCTCACCAGAAGGAGAGAGAGTGCATGAGAGAGTGAGCTAGGGAAAGTGAGAAGTTACCCCCTAGGGGGGGATGGCTATGTTGCAATCTCTTCTTCATTCTCCTCCTGGGATTTTGGGGATGCATGCAAATGCCCCTGGTGTGATTTTTCAAGCCACAGGGTCCAGGACTCAAACCGTGATGGGCTATGAGAGAATCCAGCGCCTTAACCATCATGCCACCTGCTGGCTTCATTTAACTGAATTTTTTAAATTGATAATTAGCAAAATATTTTTCAGTGGAAAATACTAATTGAGGGTTTTAAGAAATATGCTCAATATATTGTCTAATTGGCTTTGCTAAGTATGTGCCACGACTTTTTCAAGCTCTGTGCATGTGTTTTATCCTTTGCAAAGGAAATTCGGAAGTCATACCTGGTGGGGTTCCTTTTGTCTTCCTCAGAGATCAAAAACCAAACAAAATCTGCATAGCTCATTCTTCCCTCTTTCTGTACTGCTTTTCCCCTGAAGAAAACACGTGGTTATAAAATTTCCTGAGTAATAACTCAGATAAATCTAGTAGAATGACAGACTAAAAGAGAAAGTAATATCCTTTTGTGGAGATTAAGTTTAAAAATATCAAGATGCTGGATACCTCGTAAAGGGCAACCTTTCCATAGCTTATTGTTTTCAAAGACCTAGAAGGCATTTGCAAATATAAAGAAAATAAATCTCACTTCTAATTTGAATATAAATAATCACTGGGATCAACTACTGCTGCCTGTATTTGGATATGGGACTACTAAAGATGTACTGTCTGGTATTAAAATCAGGATACTGCTTAAACCAGCAGCACTACCAGGTTATATAGGAAGCTCTGCTAAAATGTGACTGTTACCTGATAGAATTATTTGTGGTTTATTTTTTTTTTTGAATTTGTGGTTCATTTTTTAACTCAGCTTTTAAACTTTTTCTTACCTTGTTACTGCCCCCGAGAATATCCTTTCAATAATTTTGCTTGATGAAGCTAAATGTAAATAAAAAATTACAAAGCTAGTTAAAACATATTCCATAAATGCAGTATTTCAGCAAATTTATTTTCATTAGCTATAAGCTAAACTTTAACAATCTTCAAAGATGAACACATGAATAAATATTTACTTCTGTATAATTTGTATTTTTGCAAAAATCAGAAAAAAGAACAGGTAGATGAACAAGTCTGACATCTGGAAGAATTAATATGGTTGAGTACAAAGTTAATTCTGAGTATCTTGACCGTGAAGATAAAAATGTATAGTATAGACTTTGTATAGATTCTGTTATATAATAAGGTAAGACAAATTTTCCTTTGAAACAAGACAAACTTCATCCTAACATTAAATTTAAGAACTGAATGTGGAGCTCCTAAAACAATGTAAAATAAAACAAAGTAAGACAATGGAAAATGCTTTCAAGTAGGATTTTTTAAAAAAAATTATTTTATTTAAATTTATTTATTATCATTATTATTTTTCAGTTTGATCAGAGAGAGACAGAGAGAGAGAGAAAGAGAGGAAGTAAGAAAGCAAGCCACCAGGTCTGAGACTTGAACCATGGTCGGCCATGTGGGAGTCCAGCGCCTTTAACCACCATGCCACTTGCCAGCCCCTCAAGTAGGATTTTATAACAGATACTAAAACATACTGTAAATAGTCTTCTTACAGTGACATTCTATGAGTTCAGATATAACATTATATAATAACATTTTAGAAATCAAGCAGTAATTTTTATTCAGAGACAGATAACTATCTTAGGAAGGGTAGTATGTTGCTTTCGGATGAAAGAACCCAAAGAATCTACAGCAGTACACCTCATTATGGCTTAAAATAACCAGAGGCATTAACTAAAAAAAAAAAAAAAAAAAAAAAAAAAAAAAAAAAAAAAAGAGAGAGAGAGAAAGAGAGAGATGCCTAGAAGTTACAGAACTGTTTTTTTAACGAGTGCTCCAGGCAATGGCATGCACACTCAGATTTCAGGAGCATAGATGGGGCAGTCTGGAAGTTAGCAGCCTTGAGCACTTGAATCTACACGGTCAGAACATACACACTTTCCGTCAACATAAAAGGAAGTTAGTTTGGCTGAAGAAAGTTGGGAGTGTGTGTCCGTGCAGAGATACCGGGCCACACACCGACTATTTAAAGATCCTTATGCTTTGTTGAGCAGTGTTTTAAGAGGTTAATGATCGGTAAAAGATTTTTTTTTTAAAAAAGGAGGGCTGTATATGAAAGGCGAGAATATTTAATTCCAAAGCTAATGTTTAATTAACTAATTAATTAATGTTTTTCTTGTTCTTTTTTTTGGAGAGGTTTTTGCTATAGGGCACATGCGCTCGCCAGAAAGAGAGAGAGAAAATGAGAAGTAACTTTCCTCCATTCTCCTCTCGGGATCTTGGGCATGCACGCACATGTGTCTGGCGTGAGTTTAAGCCACCAGGTCCAAGACTCGAACTGTGGTCGACTAGATGGGAGTCTAGCAACATAGCCACTACACCAACTGCTGGTCCCATTCTGTTCTTAGCTTTGGAAGGTTGAACCTTCTCAAACTGAAGACAGTGTTGTTCCCTGATGTCACATGAGGATAGTGTGGTGATCCCTTTATTTATGCAGGCCTAGATGCCCGCTTTTTTGGACTTCAAGCCATTGTCATACCGCTAGTGAGCTGCTATGTAAGTACAGACAGTATTCAGGGACTCGGTAAGAATTACAGTTATATAGGGGCTGGCAGGAGGCATGGTGGTGAAGGGTGCTGGACTCCCACATGGCCGACTGCAGTTCATGTCCCGGACCTGGCGGCTTGCTTTCTCACTTTCTCTCTCTCTCTCTTTCACTTTGTCCCTCTCTGGTCAAGTTAAAATAAATAAATAAAAAAAAGAAAATAATTATTAAAGAAGAAAAAGAATTACAGTAATATCAATCAGAGAGGAAGCTCTGGAGCCCACAGGGCTGTCCACGACCTCTGGAGGCTGGTTCACGTTGTACATATGATTTGCTCACTGGTAACAGGAAGGTGCACAGCTAATAAAGCTGACTTGATACCCTTACCACGTATCTCCAGCCTATGCTATTCTGGTGATAAAAGGGTATGGCTACTGGAGGAAGGGAGATAACAGGTTTAACGTGCCTGTTTATCAAATAAGCACATCTGAGCATTTTCACTTGAGGTCTGTCTACTTGGCACCTGAGAATTTGATTGGGAGAACTGTTTCTTAAACATGAAAGCTTTATGAAATGTGATATAAATAATGAATTTTCTCTTTTCTTTTTTCCTTCCTTTCTCCCCTCTCTCTCCCCCTCCCCCTCCCTCCTTTCTCCTTTCTTTTCCTCTCTCTCTTTTAAAATAAATTTGTCAGAGGGTGTGTGTGCTCTCCAGAGAGAGAGAGACGGGGAGTGGGAAAAGCTTTCCGAAGGGGGAATAGTCATGCTCCCATCTCTTCTCCATTTCTCTTTTTGGGATTTTAGGCATGACGGCACACATGCCTGAGGTGTTTTTCAAGCTGCCAGTCTGGGATGCCCTCACAGTCACCCATGTGGGATGCAGCTTGAGAAGGGACTGTGGCGTGGCCAACCCCCCCACCTCCCCGTCCCCCGGGAGTGATTTCTTGCCTTCTCTCTGTCTCTCAGGGAACACACACGCCCTACAGCAAAATCTCTTCTCTTAAAGAAAAGGTCACAGGCAGTGGTGCTCTTCCGTAGGTCCAGCTGGGAGGCTAAGGCAGGAGGATCATGATTGTATCTTAAAAAATAAACACAGGGCCAGCAGGTGGTGTGGTGGTTAAGGCACTGCATTGTCACATGGCCCACCACAGTTCGAGCCCCAGACCCAGCAGCTTGAAAATCATGCTAGACATGTGTATTTGTATGCCCCAAATCCCGAGAGAATGAAGAAGAATTGCGGCATGGCTATCCCCCCTGGGGTTGTGATTTCTCAATTTTCCTCTCTCTCTCTCTTTGGGAAGTGTGCGTGCCCTATAACAAAATCTTTCTGCAGAGAAAATGTCTTTCTAGCATAAATTCTAAACAGTAAGTTTTTATAAGTACTTAAAATGAAAACTTGTCAAGTCAGAAACTATTTTTATCCTGGCTTTTTATAGAAATACTGTTAAATGGGAAAGTTTTAAGGTATATGTATCCTCCTTCAAACTGATTTACACAGGCGTGGATCTTACTGAATGTGTCATCAGAAAACACACATTACTATAGCGACTCTGTTTCCCCAAAACTAAGACTGTGATTGCCACTTACCTCCAAACCTCTTCTCCTGCATCTGGCTTTGTAAATAAAAAATTAAATTATTTTTGCTTGTTCCTACTTAAAAATTCATATAGAATCGAAGAAATGGGGATTTCTCATAATGAGCAGGGACAATTTATATATTCCTCTAAATGGTTAAGTCTTGGCACGCGTGGAGTCACTCACCCTGGTCGTTGTACTGGGACAGATCAGCCTGGCTGATGTAGAGGTCATGATCACTATCTAGCTCCCAGAATTTACAGTAAATGACATAGAAATGTTCATAGGAGAAGTAATCTGTGATTTGGTTTATATCTTCCTCTTCTTCCAAAAGGGCTAGAGTCTGAAATGGTACGAATAGAAGAGTTAATTTTTAACATGATAAAAAAATCAGTTTTGGCCACTGTACAGAATCTAGAGAATTTTTGTTTTAAGTGGAATTTAAAATTTTGTTTTTGGTATCAAACCCATAATTTTTTCATAGGTAACTTTATCTTACCTTGAGCCAACTGATCAATTTATAGACATTTCTGAACCTATAATATGCTTAGCAAAGGGTTAGATTCTATGGAGGATGCAAAAGCAGAGAAAAAGAAGGACTGTCACCAAGGGGCTTATAGTGTGTCGGGCAAGCACAGAACAGCTAGACAACACGCGCTGTTACACAGACATAAACTAACAGTGTATTTAACTTTTTGAAGTTTTGTGGGTAATATTAAGGAAGGCAGACATTCCCATGTAGAGTTTGGTTTTGGGATAAAATCAAGTTTGCCCTAGAGGTTATTTATGAATACTATAGTGATGATGCGGCCTGGCCTGGCATTTAGGCATGGCTGGTGGGACTGCAGGGCCTCAAGCTATAAGTGAACTTGGGTCTCCTGACTCACTTTTTACCCCTGTAGAGAAAATACCAGACCAATGATTTTGAACATACAATTCTATAGTTAGTCATATTATTATATAAGTGTGAAGATAAATGAAGACATTGGGGAACAAAAAATAAAAAGTAGGTTAAAAAAAGAGATGAGGGACCAGCTGGATCCTATATGGTTGGCTATGTGATTTGAGTCTGGACCCTACAGCTTGAAAAACACGCTGGGTGCATATGCGTCTGTGTCCAAAATTGAGAGACTGGAGAAGGGATTGTGCTGTGGTCGATCCCCTTAGGGGTGATTTCTCACTTTTTCTGTCTCTGTCTCTTTCTCTCTCTGGTAAGGACATGTTCCCCATAGTAAACTAAAAAGAGAGAGAGATGAACAAAAACATTTAGCAAATATTAATGAAAAGGAAAATGCATCATTAATATTAGAGAATAAAATGGAACTCAAGATGAAAAATATTATAAAGGAGAAAGACTATCATAAATGAAAAAAAATTAAAATAATAAAAATTGATAAAAATAAAAAAAACTGTTTTAAATGTGAACATTGGGAAAACAAAATGATTTGACTAATTAAAAACAAAAATTGGGGACCAGCAGTTGGCATAATGGCTATGTCACTGGACTCCCATGTAGTTGACCGCAGATTGAGTCCCGGACCCAGTGGCTTAAACTCACACTGGGTGCATGTGCGTGTGTGTCCAAGATCCTGAGAGGAGAATGGAGGAGAAGGGATTGCAGTGTGGCCATACCCCCGGGGAGTGATTTCTCGCTTTTTGTCTCTCTCTGTCTTTCTGGTGAGTGCACATGCCCTATAACAAAAACCTCTCCAAAACAAACAAACAAACAAACAAACAAACAAACAAAACCCACAACATAAATTATATATGAGAGCTAAGTGCAAATACAGGATGTAAGAGCATACATATTAAGAACTACGTAAAATCCTAAAATCCATGTATGAATATGAATAGGACTACAAGAACACATGCATAAATGATACTAGTTATATATACATGTATTTATTTATTTTTTGGAGAGGTTTTTGCTACGGGATGCATGTGCTCGCCAGAATGACAGAGACCAGCGAAACAGAAAGCGAGAAATCACCTCCCAGAGGGGATGGCCACGCCGCAATCCCTTCTCCTCCATTCTCCTCTAGGGATCTTGGGCACGCACGCACACATGCCTGGCGTGAGTTTTAGCCACCGGGTCTGGGACTCAAATTGCGGTCGACTACATGGGAGTCCAGCAACATAGCCATTACGCTAACTGCTGGTCCCGATATATTAGAGTGTTAAAACATGGTTTTTGTTTTTCACATTTGCTTGTAATGTGTTGTTTTATAAACTGTCCTTAGATATAGATGAAATAGAAAACTTTTTTTTTTTAATTTACCAGAGGGCATGTGTGCTCACTGGGAAGAGACAGAGAGAGAAAGAGAGAGAATGGGAAAATCAGAAAGTATGCCCCCACCACCATGGGGATGGTCACGCTGCAATCCCTTCTTATCCATTTCTCCTCTCAGGATTTTGAGTACACAGCATATGGGCCGGCTGTGGTTTCTTTTCTTTTCTTTTTCTTTTTTTACTTTTAAAGAATTATTTATTTAATTTTATTTATCATTATTTTTCAATTTGTTATAGGGCACTTGTACTCATGATAGAGGAGAGAGAGAGAAAACAAGCTGCCAGGTCCCGGACTTGAACTATGGTCAGCCATGTGGGAGTCCAGTGCCTTTAACCACCATGCCACCTGCTGGCCACCCCTTGGTGTGCTTTTCAAGCAGCTGGGTCTGGGACTCAAACCAGGCAGCCAGCCATGTATGATCTAGCCGGCTTAACCGCTATGCCACTGGCTGACTCCTGATGTGGAATACTCTCAATAAAACAAATCTGTAGAAGCAAGAGATACGATTTTTACTCACTGGATTATAAAACAGTGAAGAAAACGGACATACATAATATGTTTTTGGTGAGTGTGTAAGCGAAAATGAACTAGTGCAGGCTTTTCACAGGACAAATTGGCAGGATCTATCAAAGTAAAAATGCACATACTATTCGATCCAGTATTTTCCCTCTAGTAGTCTATTCTAGAGATACAGACACACAAGAGCAAAAAACAAGAATATTTATTGTATCACCATAATTGAGAATATGTGAAAAATGACTTGCCCATCAACAGAGGAATGTGTAATTATTTGCAATATTGCCATGCAATCAATTATGAAGTAGTTGACAGATCGAGGCAGATTTGTATGAGTGAAAATGAAAAGTCAGGAAGAACACTATTTAATGAAAAAAAAAAGAGTTAACTAAATAGTCAGTATGAACCCATGTATTAAAAAAAATTTCAAATTAGCCATATATTGGGTTAGTGAAAAAGTCGTAACATATTTTTCTATGAAAGAAATTTCTAGGCTGCTTTTGCAAAACAGGGTGAAATGGCAGGGTAAAGAGATAACCAGAAACTTCTGTTTATGTATTCCTCTAGATGTGTTCTTTTATTCGAATGTTTTATGAATACTAAGAGGAAGACAAAGGAGAGGATAAGGAAGAAGAGGGAGAGGAAGATGTCATGTTCTAGGAAGCAGACCGTTTACTTGTGATCTTATACACGCCATTCAACTATACTCGAGCCTCAAATTTATCATCAGTAATTAAATCATTATTGTGGATTAAAACGATGACTCAGAAACTATAAACTATAAAGTGCTTCAGAAACACAAGGGATTATTATCATCATTCTTGAGATGTTATGGAGTTACTGCCATTTTAACTCATCCCACATTACCTACTGATAGCCCAGGCGGGCATCAGGTGTTGAAACAAACATCAACAATGACTGTGAGGATGATTGTTCATTTTAGAATAATAATTTTTAAAATGTGTAAATCCATAATGGATTGCTAATTCTGCATTCTTCAATGCCCTGTCTGTCCCAGATGAAGACAGGGAAAAAAAAGTAAAGGTTTATTATTAGGCCAAGATTTATTAAGATTCACTTAAAATAAAACATTTCAAGTACAAACATTGCCACTTTCTTTAGGTTTATAGACACTTAAACAACCAGGCATGAAGACTGCTTTAGTACAAGGCTCCCATTTAGTGGTCAATTCTCTCTCTCTCATTTGGTAAAATAAATAAAATAACTGGATGAAATATATTGCTTCTTTTTTTTTTTTTAGAGAATTATTTTAACTTTATTTATTATTATTGTTACTTTCCAGTTTGATTAGACAGAGAGAGAGAGAGGGAAAGTGAGAAAGCAAGCCACCAGATTCAGGACTTGAACCACACGGTTGGCCATGTGGGAGTCCAGTGCCTTTAACCATCATACCACCTGCTGGCCCCAATATACTGTTTCTTAAAAGGAACTTTCTTAAAAGGTACTTTTCTCCAGCAGGAGATGCATAGAGTCTGTGCTGAAAGGATCAAGTCTAATTCATCCTTTTCTTTTGCAAGATTCTTCCCAATCTGGCCTCAGCCTACCCCCTCTCCTGTCATCTTAGGTTATTCTCTGAGAAGCCTTTGGTTGCTTCAACTGCCGGACAGTTCCTGAACATGACGCTTTCTGGCCTTTACTTATTCTATTTCCTCTAAGTGGAATCCTTTATCTTCTAATGTTTTATCTTGGTCGACTCCTGATATCCCCCAGGCAAGACCACAAGCCAGTGCCATGAAGCCTTCTCCAACTTTCTATGTGCCTGTGGAATCGGCCAGCTCAGGTGTGGCTGGCTGGGCACTTCTCTCATCTGCTTCAGAGTGAGTGCCTTCAGGCAGAGACCCCTTGGTATCCTAGTCATCGCTCTCCCCCAACATATCTTAATGCCCCACTGTAAGAATTTGATAAATTCGTAATGACTGAAAGTAGTGACAGAATGCAGAGTGTTAGCATTCAATATTTGGTAAATAAAGAAGAAATTGCAGTTTGTGTTCAAATTTTAATGGAAGGCATACTTGCAAAAAGTTGCTTTTTCTTATTTCTGTCGAAGTAATTTTTCCAGTCCAAGATCTGTTAACTGTGTAGAATATTCTCTGAATAACCTGGTTCCAAAAGGAAAACAAAACCAAATAAAAACATTAAGATCTTTATTACTTTATAAAGGCCATCTTATAAATATACTTGGGATCAATTTAAGTTTTGGCTTTTGATTGTATTAAGGATAATTCCTAGTAAAAATGAACTATTTTTATATGTTTGTGTGTATAAATTAATACTATATATAACACTGCAAATACTATATATATAAATTGAAATTCAAATGATATGATTATGTATTTTTTATATATGTATATATTGGGTCATTGGGAATTATGATACATTTTTGCATGGGAAAATAGAAAAGTATGTCATGACTTTTCCAATGGCCCAATATATATATACATACATATTTTTTAAATTTGCCAGAGGGTGTGTGTGCTCACCAGAGAGAAACAGTTAAGACAGGGAAAATGAGAAAACATTGCCTCCCTGAAGTATAGTCATGCTGTAACTCCTTCTCCCCCATTTCTCCTTCCTTTTAGGATTTTGGGAACTCATGCACATGTGCCCAGTGTGTTTCTCAAGCTGCTGGGTATCAGTCCAGGACTCAAACCGTGCAGTTGGTCATGCGGGATCCTGCTGTCTTAATGCCATATGATGGCCCAACTCTATTTTTAAATTTTTCATCTTCATATTGTCAACCTGCCTCTATACCTCTGAAAAGAATAAAGAATATATCCTGTACTCACAAGTCTTCATTTCCCAGCTGCCTGCATGATACTTCATTTACCTCTCCCACTTACACTGTAATGCCTGACTGAAAAGTGAAGCTTATTGGGTCAGATGTTTTGGGAAGGCAAATACAGTGAAGATACCTGTTTAATTGCTCAGAAGGATGGCTGTCGAGATGGTGTGATTCAACAGGGGACTATTCTGGTTATTATAGCTTTATTTATTGGAGGTTTGAAGATTTCTAGTTTTCTAGACCCTAAGGAAACTCAAATACAGCTGGCATAATTTATATCCTGACCACCTGTTGTGATTAGCTAGCGTTTTAATGAATTTAGCAGAAGTACAATTCTGGAGAAGACCCTGAACAGGACGGAGAGAAGATGGGAAGCAAATGTGTCTGGTCTGGGGACATGTGTGCTATGGTGTAAAGGAGGACGGGAGAGAAAGACAGAGGCGGTAATATTGGAGGTAGGAGGCTACAGTGTATTTCAATCTTACCTGTGGTTATTTCTACCTACTTAGTTTCCCTTCCTCCCTCTGAAAGGAAGCAGTGGCTAGAAAAGCAATTTAAGCAGCTTTTTGGAGACTCTGGCTTTTACAAGGGGACTTCAGAAAGTTTGTGGACTAATGGGATTAAAGTATGAGGTGCAGAAAGCTTTTGCAAGCTGTGAATAGTTCTCCATAACACAAGTTCTCCTTGAACTTTTTGAAGACTCTCCATATTTTGACAGTCTAATAATACAGAAATGTTCTATCCTTGGTGGTTTTATCACAGAAGAGATTAGATTCTCTTTTCAAGTTATTTGTATTTATTTCAAGAACAAAGAAGGGAAGACATCTGTACATTTTTCCGAAGACAGGCCTAATGAGGGAGTAAACCACCACTTTTGCTCTAGATTCTTTAGCAAAGAAAGCAATTCTCAAACAGAGCAGGGAAAACCAGCAGCAGGATGGAAGTCTGGACTTCCGCTGCCCAGGACTCGCCATCTGCCAGGCTCCTCTCTGCCATTGGTGCCAACTCTTCCTGACATTTCAGAACCAAGCTCAGGCACCACACCCCACAGAGTCCCAGCACCCGGACTCAGGTAGAACTCTACTTTCTGCGCTCCCACTGCCACCGGACCTCCATCAGTCACCTCTGTGATTACCTTGTATTATCTTTTTAAGAAATATTTTTGCTGTAGGTTGCATGCACTTGCCAGAGAGAAGGAGAGACAGAGAGCGAGAGGGATCATCATCCCTCAGGGGTAAGACCATGCTGCAATCCCCTCTCCTCCACTCTCTTCTCGGGATTTTGGGCATGCACACACATACAAAGTGCCTGGCTGACTTTTAAGCCCCTGGGTCTGGGACTCGAACCACAGTCAACTACGTGAGAGTCCAATGACGTAACCGTTATGCCACCTGCTAGTCTCACACGATCACTTTTTAAAAGTTCATAACAGTGCACATGTGAGAAAGGTAGGGGTAGGGAAGTATCTCCTACAGGGTCTTGTCACACCACTATCCCTGTTCTCCAGCCCTCAGCTCATCAGGGTCTTGAGCATATGGATGTACTCAGCCTGTCTGCAGGTCGACCGTGATCCAAACTCATCGATGGCCATGGAGCTTTTAGCACTGAAGTCCAGTACGCTGCCAGTTATGCCACCAAGGCTGGGTCTCCGTGGGTACATTCTAAATACTAGGGCACTGACTGCCAATACCTCCAAATTCTCTTCCCCCTGAGGTTTTTGCCATAGGGGGCATGTGCTTGCCGGAGTCACAGAGAGACAGTGAGAGAGAAAGTGAGAAATCACCCCCTTGGGGGATGGCCATGCTGCCAATCCCTTCTCCATTCTCCTCCTGGGATTTTGGGTACGCACACACACATGCCAGGTGTGGTTTGCAAGCTGCTGGGTCTAGACTTGAACTGCGGTCGGCCACATGGGAGTTCAGTGCCATAACCACTATGGTACCTGCTGGCCCCCACCTCTAAATTCAAAGGGATCAAGTCTTTCTTCACTTACATTTTACTGTCTGGTATGGTGCTTTGCATATCAGATAGTCAATTATTGCTTGATAAAACAACAAAGTTTGGAAGTTGCATAACAAAGACCTTTGTGTTACTTTTCTTTCTTACTCTTACTTTCTCTTTCTTTTTAATTGCCAGAGGGTATGTATGTTTGCCAGAAAGAGGAAAAGAGAAATAGTACACCCCAATAGGGCATAGTCATGCCATAATCCCTTCTCCTCCAGTTCTCCACCTGTTGGGATTTTGGACACACACACACATACACACATGGTTTCCCATGTGCTAGTGCTGGAATCTGAACCACACTGGCTATGTAGACTCTGGCTCCCTTTAACCACAAGGCTATGCAGCTGGTTCTTGGTATTATTTTTCTTCCCCCCCCCCTTTTTTTTTTTCAGGTTTTACCATAGAGTATGTGAGCTTGCTGGAGACAGGTAGAGAGAGAAAGTGAGACTTGCCCACCACCAGGGGGAAAGCTATGCCACAGTCCCTTCTCTGAGGATTTTGGGCATGCATACACGTGTCCAATGTGATTTTCAAGCTGTTGGGTCTAGGACTGAGGTTGAGGTCAGCCATGTGGGGTCCAGCTGGCCCCCACCTTGTGTTATTTTTCCGATATTTTCACAGCTCCATTCAAAGCTTGAAATAGCAGACGAGTGTCAACCCAACTAGAATCTCTAGTTAGTACTTCACACAAATCAGTATTCTGTCTATGAGTTACAGATAGAATGTTTAGGAAATGTGCAAAACAACTCCAACGGACACTAATGTAATGAAGTTTAATTGTGAGGAAAAGATAAGTGTAGGAAGTAGATGTCATCATGATCTGAATGGCTGACTACCAGGAGGAAGAAGTGGATTTGTTCTGTGTCGTACCAGAAAGCAGAATTAGAACCACTGGACAGACAAGGTTATACTGATGTACTTCAATACAAGAAAGAATTTCTTAAAATCAGCCCTGTGAAGCAGCGGGTTTATGTGACGTGGTGAGGTTTCTTTTCCCCATAAGTTTGTATAAGCAGAAATTGACATGATTCCTACTCGGTGGGACATGGGACTAGGCTGTACCTCAATTTTCTACTGATTTCAGTCACTCAAACTCTAAGGTCCTTGAGGACAGAGAATGTGTCTTAGTACTGTATTCCTGGGGCCGGCATGTGGCTTAGTGGTTAAGGCTCTGGACTCCCACACTGCCAACTGTGGTTTGAGTCTTGGCGACTTGAAACTCACGCTGGGTGTGTGTGTGTGCATGCCCAAGAGAGGAGAATGGAGGAAAAGGGATTGCAGCATGGCTATCCCGCTTGGGGAGGGAGGTAATTTCTCACTTTCTGTCTAACTGGTGAGCACACATACCTTCTAGTGAAAATATCTCTCAAAAAACCAAACCAAAAGTTTATATTAAAATTTAAAAAGATGAAGATTTTAGCATAGAAATTACATACATGAAGATAAACAATAAGAATTTCATTGATCATAATTTCATGTTTCCTCTCAAGTTAACAGTAATTTCTTTTTAAAAAAAAAATTCTTTATTTTATTTGTTATTACTATTTATTTATTTTTTAATTTGACCAGAGAGAGAGAGAGAGAGAGAGCGAGCGAGCATGAGCGCAAGTGAGAAAAGGGGAAAGTGTGAAAGCAAGCCACCAGGTCCAGGCCTTGAACCACGATTGGCCATGTGGAAGTCCAGCACCTTAACCACCATGCCACCTGCTGGTCCCAAAAGTAATTTAAAAACACTGATATTATATTAAATTTTTTGTTGAACATGAGTAGATCTTTGTCTTTGAGGCCCGAGTTCTCAAATATTTTATATTATTTATTGAAGTACTGTGTTAAAATAAAATTTTAATCTGTATTAATTTTTCATTTTTTGATAGAATTTTAAAAATTTACAGTTTGACTATTAGGCAGTTCCTATTTTTAGCCTCTGCTAACCTACTTACTCAATATTGTAAAACAATGCACCTGTATTCCATTTTTCCATAGCCTAAATCTCTTTATTCAGTAGCCCCACTTCATCAGCACATTTGTTGATTTCCACATTACTGAGTCAGCATTTTAGATTATTGAGGGAAGGCCACCATCTAGTGGTGAAATCATGTAGCTGCTAGTTCTACATTATTGTTCTTTTTCTAACTTTCAGTCTACCACTTTTAGGTAAACAAAAATCATGAGTTTTATAATATCAAGAAAATTTAAAAATAAATAATGATTAGAATAATTAAGTTAACCACCTATGAGAGGAATAAAATCTGACAATCTTTAACAAAGGGATCTCTAGTCACCTGGATAGACAAGTTCACTCGTAAGTCAGCT